GTGGGATACAAAGGCATAACTGGCTTCAGCCAGTTGACTGGGCGTTGAAGAACTGCCATTAATAACCATGTGTGGTCTGGGTCTGGAATAGGAAAAAGAGAAATGTGGGGAAACGGGGAGGATGCTCTATGGATTATTGAGATGGTCGTGAGGTTCGGGGTCTGTGTTGGATATTAAGTGAGAGGCTGGGTTCAAATCAGGTCCAAGAACAATGGTTACTGTGGGGTTTCAATAAAGAGTGCATAAAGCTGGAGAAGGCGAGGGGCTGAAAGTCAGTGTGTGAGGTGTGAAGAGGAAACAAACTTTGGAGGTTGTGAGAGCTACAGACAGTAAGTGGAGCATAGCCTGTCATTTTAAGGGATTCTAGGAGTATGACAGCCACAGCAGTCATTTTAAGGGATTCTGAGCAGTATTACATCCCTGAACATAACGGCCAGCCTAGAACTGTGAGGTCAAGTTGTTTAGACAAGAAGGTGACTGGTCATGGGCCTGGCTCTTGTGTGAGAACCTGACTGTGCAGCCTTTTACTGCTGCCATGTGAAGGGAGCAGGGCTGGGAGGAGTTGGGGAGTGCTGGTGGAGGGGCTGTTTCTAAGGCCGCCTTTAGTGAATGAAAGGAAGATGGGGAAGGATTTGGGGTCTATAGGGTTAGCTAAGTTTCCTTTTGTAAGTTTATAAAGTGTTTGGTTAGGAGGACAAACCTGCTATCCAGAGGCGAAATTATCCTACAACACCTAGGAAGGAGAGGAGCTGTTGTTTAGTGGATGGGGTTGGGGTTTGGGAAATTAACTGGATACAGTTGCCAGGAAGAGTACGTGTATGGTGGCAAAGGATTATACCAAGATAGGTAACAAATGAGGAGGAAATTTGGGCTTTAGAAAAAAGCGTTTTCGAGGTCAGTTGTGGAAGGGGGTATAGAAGATAGGAGGGTTAGGGGTTTGGTACAACCGGGTGGGTGGGAGGTACAAGCTGACTGATGAAGCGGAAGTCTTGGACTAGTCTGTAGGATTTGTCTGGTTTTTGGACAGGTAGGATGGGGAATTGTAAGGAGAGTTTGTAGGAATTAAAAGACCATGTTGTAATAGATGGGTGATAACAGGCTTTAGGCTTTTTAAAACCTGTTGTGGGATGGGATACTGGTGCTGGGCAGGTAAGGGTGGTCAGGTTTTAATGGGATGGCAAGGAGTGAGGCAAGGAGTGAGTAATGAATGGGGAGGTGGTGTCCCACACCCTAGGGTTAAGGTAGGGGGACATAAGGGGAGCTATTGAGGGAGGTACGAGTTTGGGGAGGAGGGCGGCAATGAGGTATGGCTGTAGCCCAGGAATAGTTAAGGAGGCAGACAACTTTGTTAGGATATCTCAGCCTAACAGGGGAACTGGATAAGTGGGGATGATTAGAAAAGAATGTGGAAAGGAGTGCTGGCCTAATTGACACCAGACTTGGGGAGTTTTGAGAGGCCTGGAGGCCTTGCGGTTGATTCCCACGACAGTTATGGAAGCCAAGCAGACAGGTCCTTGTAAAGAAGGCAGCATGGAGTGGTTAGCCCCATGTTGATTAAGAAGGGGATGGACTCACCCTTCACCGTAAGAGTTACCTGAAGCTTGGTGTATGTGATGGTCCAGGGGACCGCCAATATGTTCAGGAAGCATCAGTTTGCACCTGCCAAGCCAAGGAGCAGCAACATGAGTGGGACAGTGTGATTTCCAGTGAAGGCCCTGCACAGATGGGGCAGGGCTTAGGATGAATCCCAGGCTGTGGGCATTCCTTGGCCCAGTGGCCAGTTTCTGACACTTGAAGCAAGGTCCAGGAGGGGTAGCCCGACGCTGCAGTCTGGGCACTTTGAAGTCCTTGTGAGCTGGTGATGTGGCTGGGGTTTGTCTTACAGTGGAGTCAAGCATCTATAGTTTTGAGATGTGCTGCCACTGGGCAGCTTCTTCCCTATTACTGAACACTTTGAAGGCGAAGTTGATTAATTCCTGTTGTGCAGTTTGAGGGTCAGATTTTAATTTCTGCAGCTTTCCTGTAATGTTAGGGGCTGATACGGTGATAAAATGCATGTTACACATTTTTCAGGGGCAAGAGTTAAAGTATAGGACTGGGTTAGATATTGAAACTTTTATTTACTTTGATGAAAAGGAACCTAATCATTGGCTGATTTGGAAAAGGTTGGATAAAAAGGCACATGCACCCTAACTATGCCTTTGTCTTCAGCCACCTCTCAAAGGGGGAATTGTTGGGCAGGGGTGGAGGAGGTATCCATGGGACTAAACTGTAAGCCGGACCAGGTATGAGGTGGGAGGTGACAGGAGGGTCATAAGGAGGTGGGTTGTGGGCAGAGAAAGAGGAGGGAGGATCTGGGAGGGGGTTAGGGCTTGAATTGGGGTCTGGTTCAGACAGGCAGGGAGAAGAAAGGTTGGAAGGCTCAATGGACAAGGAAGATTCTGAGTCACTGGTGGAGGCAGGAGAGGCGGATGGAGGGGAGAGAAGGAAAATTTGGTACGGGTTATATTGAGAGCAGAGATTGGGGAGGGATTGGAGTGTAAAAAAAAATGCCTGGATGTATGACACTTCAGACCATTTGCCCATTTATTTACAAAAATTGTCTAGGTCTCACAGGATAGACAGGTTAAAAGTGCCTGTTTTCTGGCCACTTGAAACCATTGTCTAATTTGTAATGAGGCCAGGCTGTGTTACAGAAAAATATGAGACATTTAGGTTTCAGACCGGGTGATAGAGAGGTTTTAAGTTTTTTAGGAGGCAGGCTACGGGCGAAGACAGAGGAATAGAGGGCAGAATATTGTCCTTGGTGAAGAAGATAAGTATTAAGGAAAGAAGTATAGTAGCCATGAGCAGGAGTAAGCAGCTACCAGGGTTAGTAGGTGTCCCTGACTAAATGGGCTGTAACGTTGGTGAGTGATCAAGGCAGGTATCCCCACTATTGACCAGACACCAAGGGAAGACTGTCTTCCTGAGTCCATGACCGATGTTGGAGTTTTTGAGCAAGAGGGAGAGACTTGTCTCTCTGTCTCTACATGGATAAAGAGTGTCCCCTTTGTCTCTACTTAGGAGAAATAGTTAAAGGAAGAGTGAGAGGGAGAGACTTGTCTCCTTTTCTCTAACAGAAAAGAAAGAGAAAGAGGGAGAGGCTGCTTACCCGATCTGAAGGTGGCAAGAGGATTGTTGGGCTGGTCCGATGTATTGAGGTCACACAGAGACCTGGCTCTCTTCACAGAGGTAGAGTGGGGACAGGGGGTCAGTCACCCAAAGGACTACCCCTGTCCTGGCTTTTGGCACCAAATGTTACATGCACTGTGAATGAAGAGACCTCCTAAACAGGCTTTATGTGAGCAACATGGCTGTTTATTCACCTGGGTGTGGGTGGGCTGAGTCTGGAAAGAAAGTCAGTGGAGGGCAGTGGGATAGGAGTTGGTTTTATAGGTTTGGGGTAGGCAGTAGAAGGTTATAGAAGTTACAGTTCAGGGTGGCTCTTGCAAGCCAGGTTGGGGAGTGTTGCAGGGGGAGGGGTGTCACAAGGTACAAGGTCCAATGTCACAAAGTTGGTTTATCAGTTAAGCCAGAACAATGGTGGAATGTCGCAAGGTTGATTAATCAGGCACTGCAGGAGCTAGCTATTCTTACTTCAGACTCTCTGGCTCTGGGAGGGCATCTAAAGGTATACGTGGGGATCATGGGGGTTGCTATGACTCAACTTAGGGTATGGGCTATGGTGCAGCCAGTTCAAATAACCTTTCAGGTAGGTCATATTAATTTCTTTATGGCCAGTTTTTCCACAGAAAGGAAGAGAGAAAGAGTAATATTTTAAGGCTTCAAGGCTGGCTTTAGGAGAAAGGGGTTCTGGTTTCTATGACTTGCCTTGAGGAAAAGGAATTCTAGTTTCTATGGCTACCCTGAGGGACTGAAAGATAGGAGGGCAGGAGGTCTGAGAAAAACTTCTGCTTCTGAGGCCATCATTTTGGGGTACAGTTTTCTGAGTTTCAATACTAACTGGCATGCCCAAATGTCATGAATACTGGTAAAAGATAAGAGACTCCTGGGTCCGAGACAAAGGACAATACTAACAGCAATAATAGTCACAGTATTGTCATTGAGTCAGTTTCTGAGCCCTAATTCTTGCAAGACTATGTGACAAAGGCCACAGCAGGTTGCATTATAGGAGAGGAACCCCAAGTTTAGGAGACTCAAATATCTTATAATTGGAAGTAAGTCTGCCAGATCTTTGCTTAGAGAGACAAGAATTCTGCTTTGCAGGGCTATTCAATGCAGAAACATCCTTGAAAAGATAGTTGGAAAAAGGCAGTTAGAGCCTCTGCTCTCTCAAGACATGCAGGAACATGACACAAGTGAATTGTCTTCCAACCGAACAGGAATGAAAGTGCATCATATGAAAAGTAGTCTGCATCTGAAGGCTGTAAAGAAATCAAACCAAAGCAGAAATGAGGATTTGGAGGAGCCATTCAGGCCTGCTATACCAGGCAAGAATTGAGCATGGACTCCAGTTAGCTCAGCTAAACTTTGCAAGAGTCGTCAATGTCACTGTTTCAATGGGGACTTGCCCATTAAAACAGTGTTTGTCATGAGCACTTTCCACATTTATTTCACTTTAATCTTCACATTTCATGGAGACAGAGATATTACAGCCATTTTACCCATGAGTAAATAGACTTGGAAAGACCATGACTTGTTCACTTTTTCAACCACAGGACAAGAATCAGGTTTTCTCAGAGCTCTTCTGCCGCCTCACCTGTCTTGTTTCTCCCTACCGCAGGGGGCTGGAAGAAGACTGGCCAAAGTAAGTAAACGACAAATGCAAGAGTGGCACAGGTCCTCAAAAAGTCGCTGCAAACCCTAAGTGGTGACTGCACTCATGGTGCTTTGAGACCCAGCCACTACCTCGGAAGCAGAAAGTTGGGATCTCTGGTTTCTCCTACCGGTGGGCCTAAGGTTCCCTGAGATTGGTTAAGGAAGGAGCTCCTTTTCCCATTTCCAGCCGGAAGTAGGTTTCCAATGACACGGAAGCCCTATCGGGCCGCCCAGTAGACCCTTCCGTGCTACCCAGGCCAGGGACCCGCCCGGACCTTAGCAGGCGGGGACAGCGGGCACAAGGCCTGCCCCGCTCTCCCAGGATTTCCCAGGCATAACGGAAGTGGGTGGGGCTCCTCCGAGCACCACCCCTGCACGATTGGCCAGCACGGCTGTCTCTCAGCGTTCTAGGGGGAGGGGCTGGGCGATACTTACAACTAGGGCCGCGGGCGCGGGTAGCCAGTCGGGTGGGAGGCGCCGTAGCAAAAGTTCTGGGCACTGGTGCCGGTGGCTCGTGCCATGGAACCGAGCCCCGACGTGTCCCCTGGGCCTTCCCGCTCCTTCAAGGAGGAGTTGCTCTGTGCTGTCTGCTACGACCCCTTCCGCGATGCCGTGACTCTGCGCTGCGGCCACAACTTCTGCCGCGGGTGCGTGAGCCGCTGCTGGGAGGTGCAGGTGTCGCCCACCTGCCCGGTGTGCAAGGACCGCGCCTCGCCCGCCGACCTGCGCACCAACCACACCCTCAACAACCTGGTGGAGAAGCTGCTGCAGGAGGAGGCCGAGGGCGCGCGCTGGACCGGCTACCGCTTCCAGCGCGTCTGCCGCCTGCACCGTGGCCAGTTCAGCCTCTTCTGCCTCGAAGACAAGGAGCTGCTGTGCTGCTCCTGCCAGGCCGACCCCCGGCACCAGGGGCACCGCCTGCAGCCAGTGAAGGACACTGCCCACGACTTTCGGGTAAGAGCAGCGGTGTAGACTAGGCGGCCGAGCAGGGACTGGAACCCGGAACCCCATGGCTCTACGGCTCCCGCCCCTCCTGCCTGTCAGAGCCCAGGGTGACTGTCTCGCTGTAGCATGCAGGACCCCATCTCTCCGACCGAGGTTCCCTACAGGGAGGGGCTGGATTCTTTATCAAGGTGGGCCCAGGGGCCCATGGTGGGAGAAGGGAGAATGCAAACAGAAAGTGAGAGCTGGGGTTACGGGATGTTCCCAAGACAGTGCCACCCACTTCTGAAGGACCCAGGCCATGCACCCCTTGTGCCAACTGGGTGTGGTCCAGGTCCCTTAAAGTAACATGAATGTGAGTGCAGCCCACGAGGCCTTTAGCTTGGCGCCCTCAGTTTAGAAGTGGAGGAGGAGCCCCAGACTTGGCCACGGATGTGGAGCCTTAAGATTTTCCCCAAACCAGTCACCTACTTACCAAACTGACCCCATAGTTTGTATTATCTGTGGGGAGAGGCCTCTGGCCCTGGCTGGCTGGCTTATTCTGGTTTATCACCCAGCATCTCCATGCCTAGTGTTCTAGTGGCTATAAATAAACCCAGGAACAACTTACAGGGCAAAACTAACATGGAGAATTCTTTGGTATAGGAAGGAAAAATGAACAGAAGATAGGGGTTAGCCTAACTCAGCATTCTTCAAAACGTTTGTTCTTAGCCCATAGGAAGCAATGCATTTTCTCTTGTGACCCAGAACATATGTGTCAGTTGAAACAAAAGTTTTCTGAACATGTCCATTGTACTCTGATATTTTCTGTTACTTTACCTTTTTTTTTTTTTTGAGACCTCTGTCACCCAGGCTGGAGTTCAGTAGTGTGATCTCAGTTCACTACAACTTCTTCCCCGCCCAGGTTCAAGCGATTCTGGTGCCTCAGCCTCCCGAGTAGCTGAGATTACAGGAATGTACCAGCACGCCCGGAGTAGCTGAGATTGCAGGCATGTACCAGCATGCCCGGAGTAGCTGAGATTACAGGCATGTACCAGCACGCCCAGAGTAGCTGAGATTACAGGCATGTACCAGCACGCCCAGCTAATTTTGTTTTTAAAATTTCTAGTAGAGATGAGGCGTCACCATGTTGGCCAGGCTGGTCTAGAACTCCTGGCCTCAAGTGATCGGCCCGCCCTCTGCCTCCCAAACTGCTGAGATTACAGGCATGAGCCACTCCGCCCAGCCTGTCACTTTACTTTTAAAAATTACCCAGAATGTGAAACATTGAATTTATTTAATCACCAGCTAATGCATGAACACTGGGTAGCTGGTCTGAAGCTGCATGGACTGGAAAGGAGGAGCTGCTAAAGTCCCCAGTGCCTGGTCTCTGGGCTTCTCTGTGGCCCTGCCTTCCTTTTTTTTTGAGATGGAGTCTCACTCTGTTACCCAGGCTGGAGTGCAATGGCGAGATCTCAGTTCCCTGCAACCTCCACCTCCCAGGTTCAAGCGATTCTCCTGCCTTAGACTCCCAAGTAGCTAGGATTACCGGCATCTGCCACTATGCCTGGCTAATGTTTTTGTATTTTGTATTTTTAGTAAAGGCGGGTTTTCACCATGTTGGTCAGGCTGGTCTCAAACTCCCAACCTCAGATGATCCACCCGCCTTGGCTTCCCAAAGTGCTGGGATTACAGATCTGAGCCACCGAGCGTGGCCCTGCCTCCCTTTTTTTTTTTTTAACAATACTTTTTGTTAAATACAGAAGTCTGTTACTGCTCCATACACATTTAACAAAAGTGAAGTGAAGAGTACACATGTCTGAATGAGTAACCCTATTCTGTCAAGTTTTTTGCTTAACATGGGTCCATGTCATTGCTTTTTCTGTGGAACAAGTGGCAGATCCTGATTTGGGATAGCTGGAATAAGTGCTGGCCAGCCTGGGGGTGGGGCCCAGGAAAAGGAGGGATCATGGTTCAAGTCATGACTAATCCCTATAGGGTTGGCCTAGGTGCCACTCAGGAGATGGGCAGGGGTCAAGGCTGAGAACAACCAGGCAGAGCCCCCAGGTTGGGGTCATGCCAGGATTCAAGAGCAGAGAGCCACACACCAGCAGATGCCAGGGAGACTGCAGGAGATAAGATAGACAATTTCCAGCCTCAGGGAACTTCCAGCAGAGACCCGAGGGAAAGGGAGGTGTTAGCCAGGTGAAAGGGTATTTCAGGTAGAGGCAGCAGCATTTGGAAGGGTCCAGAAGTGGGAAAGCCTGACTTTCCAGGCCCTGAGGGAATTTCAGGGTGGTTGGAATGAGGATAGAAGTGCAGGAGGATCCAGGAGGTCTGTGGCTCCCCCTTGCTGTGAACAGCAGCTGTGGGTTTTAGCAGAAGAATAGTGGGTTCAGATTAGTGGGCACCCAGGATGATGTCAGAGGGGCTGAGTAGTCTAGTCCCAAAAGGATCTGAGGAGAATGAGAGCTGGTCAGCCTGATGCAGAGTGCAAATCACTCATATACTGGACAAATAGGTATTGATGGCTGTTGCGTGCCATGGCCTCTTCCTAGCTTCGTGGAATTCTCATTTGAGCAGGGGGTGTAGACAGTCAATAGACAAGATGTAATTCCGTGTGATTTGAGGTAGGTGGTTGTGGGGGAGCAGTATGGGAAGGTTCTTTCACCACTAGGTGTGAAGGGGCTAGGCAAGAAGCTGTGTGCCTCGCAGAGGGAGTTTTCCATTGTGTGCTGTGGGGAGCCCTGAAAGATTCTGAACAGGGGAGTTTGTGATGAGGTGTGTGCCTTAGACAAAGATTACTTTGGCAACTATGTGAGAAACAGCAAAAATCAGAGTTGTTCCAGTGAACACTTTCAGTGCCCATTGTGTGCTAGATGCTTTCAATGTTCACATGTCAACGAATTTAATGCTTACGAAAACTTATCATCAGGTCCTGTCTTCGTTTCCTGTTACTGCTGTAATACATGGCCACAAATGTGGTGATTTAAAATAGTACACATTTGTTCTCTTACAGTTCTGGAGGTCAGAAGTCCTAAAATTGAGGTGTCTGTAAGGCTGCATTCCTTTTGGAGGCTCCAAGGGAGAATTTATTCCCTTGCTTGCTCCAGCTCTCAGAGGCTCCTGCCTCTGGCTCTCAGGTGCAGCATTCCATTCTGCGTCTCTTGTCACTTTGCCTTCTTTGACCAGTTCTACTATCTCCACCTCCCTCTCATGAGGACCCTGTGATGACATTGGGCCCACCCAGGTAATCCAGGATAACCTCCCCGCGGCAAGATCCTTCATTTAATCTGCACAGTCCCTTTGTCATACAAAGTCACATATTCACAGGTTCCGGGGATTAGAATGGGGACATCTTTTGGGGGAGGTAATTATTCAGCTTGCTACAGGTAGGTACTATTATCCCCACTTGTCCAAAGCCACAGAGCAAGTAGTTCTAAAGGTCACCTGGAGCCTTGTTCAGTCCGCACTCTGGTCCTGGACTTTAAGAGAGAGGCTTCTCTCATCCGAGATGTGTGTGGGCAGCTGACTGTGTGTTAGGGGTTTGTGTGGCTGTTGACCACTGTCAGGGCTGGCAGAAGGTCCTGGTTGAGTGCCTCCTGAGTGCCAGTACGGTGTCCAGGACAGGACAGTCCTAGACCTTGCCTTTGCTGGCATGGTTGTATCATCTCACTAATAGTTACATAATTTCAGCTCAATGCTCCTGTGAAGGACAGTACAGGATGTGGTGGGAGATTGTCAAGGGAGGCCACTCTTGTTTGGTGGGGCCTGGCCAGCATGGTGAAACCCTGTCTCTACTAAAAATACAAACATTAATCAGGCATGGTGGCATGTGCCTGTAATCCCAGCTACTTGGGAGGCTAAGGCAGGAGAATTGCCTGAACCCAAGAGGCGGAGGTTGCAGTGAGCCGGGTTGTGCCACCGCCCTCCAACATGGGTGACAGAGCAAAACTCCATCTCAAATAAAGAAGAGAGACAATACGAATGCTGGTGCTGAAGTTGTGGGAACTGAAAGCACGTGTCAGCACCGTTTACGCCGTCACTTGGGGTAGCATTGTCTTGGTATTGTTTTAGGTTGCTATTAACAAAAACATCCCCAGACACAGACCCACAGGGGACTTGTGAGGAAGTGGTTATATCTCAGTAATGAGAAGTGGATCAAGGCCACTGTGTCTCATACCTGTAATCCCCATGCTTGGAGAGGCTGAAGCTAGAGGATCGCTTGAGGCCGGGAGTTCAAGATACTGCACCAAAGCAAAAAAAAAAAAAAAAAAAAAAAAATTAGCCAGCATGGTGGCACACACCTGTAGTTTCAGCCACTCTAGGGGAGTGGGGAGAGTGGGGACACTGAGGGCTGAGATGCGAGGATTGCTTGAGGCCAGGCGTTCGAGGCTGCAGTGAGCTATGACTGGGCCACTGCACTCCAGCCTGGGCAACAAAGTGAGACCCTGTCTCTTATATAAATGGATAAATAAAGTACTAGGATAAGAACACAGGTCTCCTGCCTCCCAGTCCAGAGCTCTCGGGCTCTGTGCTGAGCTGCCTTGTCCAGACTCTTGTCTTATCCAGCTCGCAGGACTGGCATGATGGCCATTCTTTGCCAGCAGACTCTCCCTGGTCCCAGCTCCAGTCCTCTCTCCCCCTCTGGGGTCAACATCTTAGAGTCCCTCTGGCTGGATCTAACCTGAAGGTACTCTCGATACCTCTTAAGCCCCATTCCAGGTGATCCGCTCGCCTCGGCCTCTCAAAGTGCTGGGATTACAGGTGTGAGCCACCGTGCCTGCCTCAAATTATTATTTTTTTTCTTAGGAAAAAAGTTGAGAAGCTTTCTGAGAATGTAGATTGAAAGGATAAAGAGGGAGAGAAAATGATAGACCTCAGTCAGGAATCCAACCTAAAAAGCTGTAGCGGTTCTTCAAGGAGTCCAAGAACAACAGAAACAATAATTAAAGTTTAAGAATGAAAACTGCTAAACGAAAAATATTTGTGCCTGCTGATGAAAGTATTCCATGCGATCCAGGCAGTGCTAGAATGTCAGGGTGTGGGAGGAGTATGGAGGGAGGGGCGTGTTGATGTTAAGGCCTCATGGGAGGTAACTGAACCCCACGGGAAATGACTGGCTTTATCTCCATTGTCAGGCACCGCACATTAGTGATTGCAGACCCATCTGCTTTAGGAAATTGCAGAGGGAACCTGTGACCACACTGTCTGCAGTTGTCCACACAGCTCAGGGATTCAGAGCCAGCATGGACCAGCTTTAGGCTCGCCTGGGATATTCTTCTAACGTGTGTGGTGAGCAACAAGAGAGAGAGCAGGTCGCTTCTCCTCAGCCCCATCTCCCAGTCTGTGCCAGGCTGGGCTAGAGGATGTCTGAGGGCCCTTTATCTCACAGACATACGTCTGATTCAGGATCAGGACCGTACTTACCATGTGTCTGTGACCACAGCGCGTGGCATGGGTGGGGTTCGGCAAATGCAGCTGAGTTACACTTGTGTGGAAGTAGAGTTCCAGTTGGAAATGTGATGTGTCTGCCCTCCCTGCCTGGCCTCCAGCCCTAACCTCCCTTCCTGCCTCCTTCTCATTCCCACTTCAGGCCAAGTGCAGGAACATGGAGCATGCGCTGCGGGAGAAGGCCAAGGCCTTCTGGGCCATGCGGCGCTCCTATGAGGCCATCGCCAAGCACAATCAGGTAAGTGAACAATGGGGCTGAGTGGGGAGATTGGAGGCACTCAGGACAGCTGGGGAGGAGTGAAGATGAGTCAGCCCTGGCTTTGGTTCCCATAAGCTGCCAGGAGAGGTGTCCTGCCTTACCTCTGATGGTCCTGTGCAGCCACATCCTGGACACTGACCGTGGCTCCTCTGCCTTGGCCTCTCTAAAGACCCAGGTGTGGTCATGCCAGCAGCCACAGGAGTGACTTAAAAAGCTACCAACACCATCTGTGCTATGGCACGTGCATCGTACCACCGCCACCTGGGTGTTGAGTGATGACCTGGGATTCATTAATTTCTTGTTTTCTCTCAGTTCCCACATGCACTCCATCATCAGTCCTCTTCGCCCATCTCCAAAATACATGATTTCTGTCGAACTCTCCACCTCCTGGTCCAGGCCACCGTCCTCGCTCACTGGGCCTCCTGCCTGGACCTCATGCTTCCATTCTTGTACATTCTGTTTTCCACAGACTGGGGCAATCATGTAGAAAAAGACATCAGCCTTGCTCCTTCTCTGCTTAAAACTGCCAGTGGCTTCTGGTCACCCTCAGTACCACCCAGATTCCTTACTGTGGTCTCCAAGGCCATCGCCTGACGCTGCCTGTCCTCAACCTCATTTGCTTCTCTGGCTCACCTTCTTTCTGTCCCTTAAGCAAACTAAGTCTTCTCCCCAGAATGCACACCCAGCATCTTTGCCATTAAAATCTCAGCTCAGATGTCCCCTTCAAGAAGCTTTTCCTGATCACCCTCCTCTTTTACTCAAGGGCATACTTCTTGGTTTATTTTCTTGATGACACTCCATTACCTGTAATTACCTTTTGTTTTCTATTTGCTTTTTATCCCCTCCCATCAGAATATAATGAAAACAGGGCACACTATTGCCAATTATCTAGAGGAGTTCTTGGCACACAATAGGTGACCAATAAAAATGTTTGTTGATTGAATGAGTGAAGTGGGTAAGTGACCAATAACTGTTAATCGAATGAATGAATGGGCTCCCTCTGTCCCCACTCTGGTTGTCCTACCTGGCACCCTTTCTTCTTCTGGGTCCTGTGTGGATTGCCAACTTTGTTTCTGACTGTAGATCTCAGCTCTGGTCTTTTGCTTTCTCAGGTGGCTGCTTCTAGTATTTACCACTCTGTTAGACTCATCCTAGCCACAGCCGAGCCACACCTGGTCTGGGTTGCTGGATGCTGTCCTCAGGAGCCTGTAGTCCCTTCCATCATATGTCCATGGGTGAAGTTTAGGCCCAGGAAAGAGCCCCATCAACATCCAGGTGCATGGAGTTTGCCCTGGCCACAGAGCTGGTGGAACAAAGTAGAAGAAAGGATTATGGGACACTGAGCACCAGGGCAGCAACCGCAAAGCAGACCCATTTCCAAATCTAAGCCCACTTCTCCCACCAAATCCCTCAACCCCTTCCAAGCTAATCCCCTCCTCTGTGAAAAGAGGGCAATTCCCTCTTACTAGGATTTTTAAAAAACACTCCGATGAGATAATGCATGTAAGTGTCCAATGGAGAGAAGTCATTAATATTTCTGGTGTCTAATAGACCCACAAACTGGTGGGAGAGAGTTTTCACTTTTTCAGTGCATTATTTTGTCATCATATGTCAGAGCCACAAATATATGTTGAAATTCCAACTCCAAATAGGGATTACAAACCTGCCGTTGCTGGAGTTCGTTTCCCAGTAGTCATCATGGAGTCCTGTAACTTTATCACTGTTGGCTTACTTGGTTTCCCTTTGTGGCTAAAGCCATGTGACTGGCTTGCCTGGTACAGGACTGGGTTGGGGATACTTAGGGAGCATCTGTCTGTCCAAGTGGCAGCACTGCCTGCCCATCCCAGGGAGTGTAGGAGTTCCAAGCTTTTTTCTGAGGCTGAGGGTAAGAGGTCACATGGGAAGCCCCTAAGATTCCAGCCTGATTAATGCTTTTCCTGTTAAATTCAGTCAATCAGATCGATGGAAAAGTGAAAGTTCTGGTGCTTATTCCTTTACAGTGAGGCTGTTATTGCCACGGTGAGTGGGAAGGAGTTGACCTTGCACCTCTGGTTTTCCCTGCCATGCTCTGTTCTTGATCTTTCTGTGCGATAAGAATTATGGGGGAGAGGGAGAGCGTCAGGATCAATAGCTAATGCATGTGGGGCTTAATACCTAGGTGATGGGTTGATCTGTGCAGCAAACCACCATGGTGCACATTTACTTATGTAACAAACCTGCACATCCTGCATATGGATCCTGGAACTTACATTTTTTAAAAAAGAGAATCACCCTGGATTCTACTCTCTCCCACGCAGACATTACCAGTCTTTTCAGCCTGATAGATTAACCTTGCTGTTTGTTCCTCATTTGCATTTCTTTGATTATTGGTAAGTTTGTACGTGTTTTATGTTTCTTCTGTGAATACCAATTCACATTCCTTTTTCCCTTGGAATATTTGTCTTTTAGAGGATTTGTAAGAGTGCTCTGTACATTAAGATTTTAATGATTTTTAAAAATGAATACTTTATACTGCTCTTTTGGTAAAGCCTCTGGATCAGACAAATTTTAAGTCCTAAGACTGGAAGGCAAATACTTTAAAAAAAATCATCGCTGTTTGCAGCCATTTATTTCTCTCATTCAGGACTTCCCTGGTTATGGTGCGTCCTTAAGAAGGAACTGAGCATCGTATGTGGGTGAGATGATAGTACCACAGCTGACATCTGTCAAAACAACCTATTAGTAGGTTGCTGGACTTTACCATTTGAAATCTGAACTTAGAAATGTGTGCTAATAAACTATTATGTTGGTATTTTATCTATAGGGGTTCTGTACATGATTTCTTTGAACATAAAATTCCTTTGTAAAAATGGGAAAGTTGCTGGGCTTTGGAGGTTCTCTCCACATCTGACCCCGACTCCCTCTGCTCTCTGCTGTAGGTGGAGGCTGCATGGCTGGAAGGCCGGATCCGGCAGGAGTTTGATAAGCTTCGTGAGTTCTTGAGAGTTGAGGAGCAGGGCATTCTGGATGCCATGACCGAGGAGACAAGGCAGAAGCAGCTTCTGGCTGAGGAGAAGATGAAGCAGCTCACAGAGGAGACAGAGGCGCTGGCACATGAGATCGAGCGGCTGCAGATGGAGATGAAGGAGGATGATATTACTTTTCTCATGGTAAGGAGCTCAGCGTCTGGATTCAGTGACAGGGCCAGATGTTCTGGGACCAGCTGGGAGTCACAGCCCACCAGCCCTAGCCAATCTCATGTTCCTGGGGCTTCCTGGGTACTGGCCTGGAGGAGCTCACAAGTGACCTGCTATGCTCATGTCATGAAGCTCAAAAGACGTACCAGGGCAGAGTTTTCCTTGAAAGCCTCTTATTTCTTCCTCTCTCTTTTTTTTTTTTTAAAGACGGGGTCTTGCTGTGTCACCCAGGCTGGAGTACAGTGGGTGATTATAGCTCAATGTAACCTCAGACTCTTGGTCTCTAGTGAACCTCCCTCCTTAGCCTCCAGAGTAGCTGAGACTACAGGCACGAGCCACCATGCCTGGCTGATTTTTTTTCATTTTTTAAGAGTCAGGTGGGAGTGAGGGGAGGTCTCACGATGTTGCCCAAGCTGGTCTTGAATTCCTGGCCTCAGGTGATGCTCCCACCGTGGCCTCCTGGGTGGCTGGACTACTGGCACGCCACTGTGCTCAGCTCCTGCCTCTTCTTTCTTCCTTTGTTTTGCCCTTTCTCTCTCATTTTTTTTCTGTTTCTACCTTTTAATAAAATGAATTCTTTTAAAATTATTCAATTATTTAAATTGTTTTATTTAAATATGATGCCCTGGCATTCTGTCTTCTTAAAGATGATTCTATTCTCTCTTTTAAAAAGTGTTCATTTTTTTTCCTTTTATTGATTTATTTCCTCCCCATGAGCCATTGGTCCTTACAAATTTCCTACAGGGAAATTTCTGGGCTTGAAAGCTGGTCTGTAAACTGGCCAGGGTGGTGAGGTATCTCCTGTACCTGGAAAACAGCTGACTGCTCTGGAAGAGGGGTCGCTATAAAGTGGAGTGGGTGGTGGCAGGCAGGTGTCATCTCCTGGGTGGGACCTTTAGGAGTTCGCCACCTCACTTAAGGCCTTGAACCATGAAGTCTCCTGTCTCCAAAATGTCCTTGATTATAAAATCATTCTGTATTCAGAGCTATATCTGAAAAGAAAAATGAAGAAAAAAAATAAGAAAAATCATTTTGTGGGATCTAAAAGATGTGTTTCTCGTGGATTCTGTTTAGGGAATTGGGAGTGTTGTCTTGCCCGGTACCCAGAGTGCTTTCAGGAATGATTTGGTTTGTGTCTCTTTTTTATTTTTTACTAAGTTTATTGTGATATAATTTACATGCTAAACAATTCAGTCATTTAAAATATACCACTCAGTGATTTTTAGTATATACTGAGTTATACAACCATCACGACAATTTTAGAACATTCCATGCCTCCAAAAGCAGCCCTGCTTTTGCTGTCATTCCACAGTTCCTCCTCCCCAGCCCCTGGCAACCACTAAGCTACATACTATTTGTATAGATTTACCTATTCTAGACATTTCAAATGCATGGAATTACATAACATGTAACCTTTCATGACCGCCTTCTTTCACTCAGCATATTTTGAAACTTCATTCATGTTGTATGTAACATCTATCAGTACTTCATTCCTTTTTATGGCTGAATAATATTCCATTGCATAGATATATAATTATGCATTGCTTAATGATGGGGCTATGTTCTGAGAAATGTCTTGTTAGGCAATTTTTTCATGATGCAAATGTCATAGAGTGTGTTTACACAAACCTGCATGGTGTAGCCTACTACATGCCTAGGTTATACGGAATAGCCTCTTGTTCTAGGCTACAGACCTGTACAGCATGTTGCTGTACTGAATACTATAGGCAGCAGGAACCAACTGTGAAGTATTTGCATATCTAAACACAGAAAAGGTACGGTAAAATATAGTCTTATACTCTCATGGGACCACAGTCATATATGCGGTTCCTTGTTGACTGAAACGTTGTTAGGTTGCACATGGCTATACGGCATTTTATTTATTGATTTATCAGTTGGTGGTTGCTGTGGTTTGGTGGTTTGAATATGTTCCTCAAAATGTATGTGTTGTAAACTTAATTCCCAATACAACAGTGTTGGGAGTTGGAGCCTAATAAGAGGTGATTGGGTCATGAGAACCCTCATGAATGGGTTAATGTTGTTACTGGCAGAGTAGGTTAGTTATGGAGAGAGTGGGCTTGTCATGAAGTGACTTTGGGCCCTCCTTGCTCTCTTGCTTTTGGTCTTATGTGTGGTCTCTTGCCCGTCCTCCCTCTGCCATGGGATGGCACAGCATGAATGCTCTCATCAGATGCCAGTGCCATCCTTTTGGACTTCCCAGCTTCAGAACCACGAGTCAAACAAATTAGTGTTTATAAATTACCCAGTCTGTGGTATTTTGTTACAGCAACACAAAATGAACTAAGACAGTCGTCATTTAGGTTGGTTCTGTTTTAGCTATTATGAATAATAAGGCTATAATCATTCAGATAGCAATTTTTATGAGGACATGTTTTTATTTTTCTTGGAAATATATCTGGGAGTAGATTTCCTGGATCTTATGGTAACTCTAGGAAGAACTGCCAGGCTGTTGTCCAGAGCAACTGTATCATTTTATATTCTCATCAGGAGTGTATAAGGATTCCAGTCTCTCCACAGCTTTGCCAAAATTTATTTTTTAAAAAGTATAACCAGGCAAGGCATGGTGACTCATGCCTGTAATCCCAGCACTTTGGGAGGCTGAGGTGGGTGGATCACGAGGTCAGGAGATCAAGACCATCCTGGCTACCATGGTGAAACCCCATCTCTACTAAAAATACAAAAAATTAGCTGGGCATGGTGGCTTGTGCCTGTAGTCCCAGCTACTTGGGAGGTTGAGGCAGGAGAATCACTTGAACCTGGGAGGCAGAAGTTGCAGTGAGTTGAGATCATGCCACTGCACTCCATCCTGGGCAACAGAGTGAGACTCCATCTCAAAAAAAAAAAAAAAGGAACAAATTATAACCATCCTTGTGGGCGTGAAGTGGTATCTCATTGTGTATTGTATGTCATCATTTCCCTGATAGCTAATGACTTGGAACATCTTTTCACGGGCTTTTGGATCATTAGTAGATCTTCCTTGGGCAAATGTCTATTCAGATCATTTGCCCATTTTTAACTTGGGTTGTCTTTTTATTGCAGAGTTGTAAGAGTTCTAGACACAAGTCCTTTGTCCATTTTAGCTCTACATGTAGGTCTTTGATGCATTTTGAGTTATTTTTTGTATATGGTGTAGTAAAGGTTGGTCCAACTTCATTTTTTTTTGCATGTCAACATCTAGTTGTCCCAGTACTATTTGTTGGAAAGACTATTTATTCCTCCATTAAATTGTCTTGGCACTTTTGTAAATAACTGATTGATGGTAAATATGAGGGTCTATTTCTGGACTTTCATTTCTATTCCATCGATCTCAATGCCTGTACTGATATTAGTACCATACTATCTTGATTACTGTTGATTTGTATTAACTCTTGAAATAGGGATTATGAGTCTTCCAATGTTGTTCTTTAATTTCAAGATTGTTTTAGCTATTCTGGTTCCCTCGAAATTCCATGTGAATTTTAGGATCAGTTTTTTAGTTTCTGCAAAGAAGCCAGCTAGGATAAGGGATCACACTGAATCAGTAGATCAACGTGCGGAGTGTCTTCATATGTTTTTTTGTTGCTATAACAGAACATCACAGACTGGGTGAATTATAAGCAATACAAGTTTATTCAGCTCATTGTTCTGGTGAGGCCAGGAAATCCAGGAGCATGGCAGCTCTGGCATTTGGTGTGGGTCATCTCATGGCAGAAGGAGGAAGTGAGTGTGCAAGACAGAGTAGTTGCTCATTGCTTCATAGCAGCCCAGGCTCATGATAATGAAACCGCTTCACAGTCATGACATTCAACCATTGGTGAGGGCTCTGCCCTCATGATCCAGTTGCCTCTTTTTAGGACCTACCTCCCAACACTGTCGTGTTGGGAATTCAGCGAACTTTTGGATAATATGCTCAGATCATAGCAGGGATGTTACTGTTAACATCTTGACAATATTAAGACTTATGATCTATGGAATGCATGACTCCTTTTGAGGTCAAAAACGTATACATTTCCTCTACATATGTGTCTCTGTGTCTTTTTTGTTTCAGAAACATAAGGGCCGAAAACGCCGGTAAGTTGCCAAAGCTGTTGGGTGGCGGGGGGGTGGAAAGAGCTGGCAGAAACAGAAGGGGTGCAAACTCCAGCAGCCCCGGGCCAGGCAGGGAACAGCCAGATGGGTGCATCAGCCCACATGAGCTACTGTGCCCTGGTTTTAGAGGGCGTGGTGGGCAATGGGCAGGTGGAGGGAGGCCTCTCACAGCATCCAATTCCAGTTGGCTCTGGGCAGTGTTGTTCTTCTGAGTGAGGAGGATCCCCACCTGCCATGCAGGGAAGGAGAGCACCATCCTGCACGTGGCTCGAATTCCCAGGGGACAGCAGTGTCAGGTCAGCCCCCTCGCTCTCAGAGCCTTAGGTCACAATGGTTTGTGTTGATGGTTGTTGGGCTCACAGGGATGAATGAGGAGGAACTGTGTCTTAGTCCAAGCTTTCTAAAGATGAAAGAGAGTGATTTTGGTGGGCGTGAGTTCCCTGTGCCCACTTCCCTTTGGCGGTGTGCAAGCAAGGGCCGGAGGACACCTGGGAACTGTTGGACTAGAGCATCCCTAGTGTCCTTTCCAACCCAGACATCCCATGAGCAGGATGTGTAAGTGTGATTGCTGCCTGCAAGGATGGCAGCCATGTTGGAGATCTCCTGTTTAGAGTTTTGCTAGTTGGGGCAGGTGAGTGAGCCCTTGGCCTGAATTCTGAGGGAGGCAGCGGCCCATTAGCTTTGACCCATCTCCCATCATGGCCCAGTCCAGTCTTGTCTTAGGGAAGGTGACCAGGAAACTTGGCTGAGGTAAGGGAACAAGTCCTGTTGCTGGTTTCCAGTGAGCCCAGTTCGGCCTGGGATGCATGGTGCTGGCTCTGCCCAGCATACCCCGTTGTGCTTTTCCAGACTCTTCTGCACCATGGAGCCCGAGCCAGTCCAGCCCGGCATGCTTATCGATGTCTGCAAGTACCTGGGCTCCCTGCAGTACCGAGTCTGGAAGAAGATGCTTGGATCTGTGGAATGTGGTGAGCGGGGGTGTGGGCAGGTGTCCCAAGCAGGGTGGAAACCCTCATGTTAGCAAAGAGCCACCAGGGCTGGTCTCTGCAGGGCCCCCCTCCCACCTCCTCAGAGCTCCCCTCCTCTCTCAACTGATCCCTCTGCCAGTCCCTCGCAGGCAGGTTCCTGTGCCCTGGTCTTCTCCACTCTGCCCAACACCTCCAACCCTCCTGGCAGAATGCCTTCCTCTCAGGGCCCTGACACTTGGTGCCCTCTTCAGAGAGGGCAGCTGGCTTGTCTATTCAGAACTGTATTTTGTATGATAAAAGACCTCCTCCATCCAGGATCGCCTCTCCCAAGGTAACTAGAGCCAGAGGAGCCACGGTGTCCCGGTTTTACAGGGAGGAATATCATTGACCTGGGGAATGGTCCATGCTGTCCCAACATCCCTGGCTTGTGTGACTGTTACAAGTTTCTGCCTGTATGAGTTCCTGTGGCTGCCATAATGAAGGACCACAAACTGGGTGGCTTAAAATGACAGAAATGGACTCTCTCACAGTTCTGGAGGCTAGAAATCCAAAATCCAGACGTTGGCAGGGCCAGGCCCCCTCTGAAACCTGTAGAGGAGAATCTTCACTCCTTCATAGGAGATGTATTAGTTGGTTGCCCACCATGCCTGGCCTGTCCCCCCTCTTTTTATAAGGACATGACTGATATTGGATTGGGGACTGTCCTCCAGTTTTCATCTTTACTAATATATCCACAACCTCCCATTCTTAGATGAGGTCACACTCTGAGGTACCAGGGGTTGGGACTGCCACATATCTTCTGGGCACATAGCCCAACCCCTACCACTGCTCCAGCCCTGGGCCGCCCCCTGCATGGACTGGGGCCAGGTGGGACACAGTGGTTGGTTTGTGGGGCCTAACAGGCCTCAGGGTTGCTGATTCCCCATTTCCACCTCTGCTTGCAGTGCCCTTTACCTTTGACCCCAACACCGCAGCCGGCTGGCTCTCTGTGTCCGAGGACCTTACCAGTGTCACCAACCACGGCTACCGCGTGCAGGTGGAGAACCCGGAGCGCTTCTCCTCGGCGCCCTGCCTGCTGGGTGCCCGCGTCTTCTCGCGGGGCTCGCACGCCTGGGAGGTGGCCCTGGGGGGGCTGCAGAGCTGGCGGGTGGGGGTGGTGCGTGTGCGCCAAGACTCAGGCGCTGAGGGTCACTCGCACAGCTGCTACCACGACACGCGCTCGGGCTTCTGGTATGTGTGCCGCACACAGGGCGTGGAGGGGGACCACTGCGTGACCTCAGACCCAGCCACCGCGCCCTTGGTCCTGGCCATCCCACGCCGCCTGCGTGTGGAGCTGGAGTGTGAGGAGGGTGAGCTGTCTTTCTATGATGCGGAGCGCCATTGCCACCTGTACACCTTCCACGCCCGCTTTGGGGAGGTGCGGCCCTACTTCTACCTGGGAGGTGCGCGGGGAGCTGGTCCCCCTGAGCCTTTGCGCATCTGCCCTCTGCACATCAGCATCAAGGAAGAACTGGATGGCTGAGCTGGCCCGAGCCTGCTGGCGGCTGCCCAGGTCTTGTGCCACCGCACTGTTTTCTTTCTGCCCCCTTCCTAATGCCACACTGCCTGGGCACCACTGTGCCCCGCCTCCTTGCCAGGCTCTTCCTTTTGTCCCGTCTGGTCCTTTTCCTTGACTCCAGGCCACGCCTCTCTCCATGTTTGGTCCCTTCTCTGCCCACGGTCAAGAGCCATTGGGTGGCACCTCACTGGCCAGGCTCTCCCGAGTCGTGGCATCTCCACAATGTGAATTTTCTGAATCTTCATTCCAGGACTTCTGGGAATAATGTTTACTTCTAGAATGGGCCAGTTTTAAACCATCTCATCCAGGTGTGGTAAAGCCAGTGGCTGAGGAGAGGACTGCCCTGGAAAGGAGAGTTTGTTACTCATGGTTCTGGGAGGAGGGGCCGCATAGGAAAGCCCCAGGGTGTGTCAGCAGGTGGAAGGAGGGAGTGGAACGTGTGTGCACGGGACTTCACTGTGGTTTTCTCAGGAAGCAATGGGTAAGGCAGGGTAAGCAGGGAAGACAGGTTTAGGGGTAGCTGGCTTGAGTAATTCAGTGGCTCTTGGCATAGGGGCTGCCTTCTCTGTCTGATACCTCGCCCCGGGATAATCAGGACGGGAATGTTGATGTGGGTTGTGACAGCCCGGTAGAGCCACACGAAGGAGGCAGCTGGTGCTATTGCTCTGGATTCGATGGTTTCGATAGGAAAGGCTGCTCTCAGCCCGATGCTTGCTGTCACTAGAGACATGGGGATTGGCTAGCCTGGGAGGAGCAGTCTGTCCAGGTCAGCGAGGCCCGGATGCCAGATCATCAAGAGTACAGGAAACAAAGCTACTACAGGGCCTCTGCGTGGCTGAATCCCCTGTCTCCATCAGATCAGCTCTGATTGATCTATTTATACCTTCACGGTTTCCTCTGAACGCAGGCTTCCAGAGCCCCTTCAACACAACGTTTTTAAAATCGTGGTTTTGCCTGTTCCCTTGCTGGGCCCCAGTTTCCCCACCTGGAAATGACATAGGACTGGATGAGGACGTCTTGCTGTAGTTGCTGTAGAGGAAATTCCTCTGGTTAATTCTCATCAGCTTTTGCAAAAAGGAAAGAATGAGGGTACCCTTTTCAGTTGGGATGAAAGGAGAGGGGTGGCTCCCTGGATGTGGCCCTAGACGCTGCAGGAGAGGGAAGAGGAGGCTGGGCCTTGCTGCCTTCTTGTCTCTGCTGACTTCAGCCAGCTCATGCTCACTCTGCCACTTGTGATTTCATCCCGAATTTCTTCCTCCACCGTGCCTGCAACCCTCTTGTCTCTGCTGACTTTAGCCAGCTCCTGCTCGCTCTATGGCTCGCGATTGCATCCCAGGTTTCTTCCTCCGCCGTGCCTGCAGACTTTCCTGGGCTTGTTTTTTCTCCTTCATCTCTCAAGAGAGTTTTTAATCGTCAACTCACCGTGTCCCAGGAAGTGGCATCATAAAAGGATTTTTTTTTTTTTCCTAAAAGCAGTGTTAAAATTGGGGTCACATTCCTGACCAAGGACTCTGCATCCCACCTCCTGCCCATTCCAGTTCACAAAAACTGACATTTTAAAAAATCACACCTGTCAATTGGTTATCAACGTATTGTGTACACTGGTTACATAAAACTTAGGGCTACAAGGAGGGCCCAGGTAGGAGATGCCAGTGTGTGAAGGGACTGGTTGGGCGTGGTGATAATGTTGGAAAATCAGTGCATGCACCTGGTGGGAGGATGCTCAACCTCAGAAAAGCTCCAAGCCCTTTGGGAGCCAATGCATCCGAGAGTTTGACTCTCTCTATAAAGTATTTATCCCACCCATCAATATAATTTTGATATAATAAACTTGACCTGAAATTATTGCATTAATTATATTAAACTTTTAAAAAATGTTGTTTTACTTTCACCTTACATATTGGAAGGGTTTTTGGTTTTAGACAGGATAATTTGCGCAGGCTAGGCCTCTTGAAAAAAAAAATCAAAAATGATATTTAAGCTAAGACTCTTTCTCTTTTGGCATTTCCTTTTCAGTGTTATAAGCAACATTCAACCATGTTGTAGCATGTGTTCAACTCTATTTTTTTGTTGGCTAATATTCCATTGTATGGGATGACAGTACTGCATTTTATTTATCATGCATCGATTGGCAGCCACTTGGGTTGTTTCTACTTCTTGACTCTTACACATAATGCTGCTAGAAACATTTATGTACGAGTTTTTGCGTGGACGTATGTTTTCATTTCTCTTTGGTATTTGCCTCAGAACAGATTTGCTGGATCATGTGGAAACTGTGTAACCCTTGAGGGACTCCCAAGCTGTTTTCCAACGTGGCGACACAATTTTATATCCAAGAGGGTCTGAGGGTTCTGATTTCTCCACATCCTTCAGTGCTTTTTATTATCTGTCTTTTAACTTAGCCCTCCTAGCAGGGGTGATGTGTTACCTCATTGTGATTTTGGTTTGTATCTCCCTGATGGCGAATGATACGAGCATCTTTTCATGCGCTTCTTGGCCATTTGTATATCTTCTTAAGACAACAATGTTTAAATCACTTGCTCATTTTTTAATCGAGTTACTTGCCTTTTTATTATTGAGTTGTAAGAATCCTTTTATAGCCGAGCACAAGTCCCTTTATCAGGTATATGATTATAAAATTTTCTCTGTGAGCTGTTTCATTTCCTTGACAATGTCCTTTGAAATACTAAAGCTTTAAATTTTGATGATGTCCAGTTTTTATTTTTTCTTTTGTTGTGTATGTATCCTGGAAATCTCACTTTTGATACTGCCCTTAGGTGCATATATTGTTAAGTTCTGGATTTTGGCTCAGGGACGGGGCAGTTGCTCGTCGGCCGGAAGCTCTAGTCCAAGAGTTCATGGATTCTCCCCTGAAGCCCTCTCCTGCCCTTGCCTTCCATTCACCCCCATCATTCCCCTCCTCATGACTGTGTCCAGACTCAAGGCAGCAGCGCCCTGGGAAGCCCCCCATTCGCCAGTTTCTCCCACTTTTGCACCATCCCACATACACCATTGTCCATGTTCCTATCACCCAGAGGGATCCCACTTCCAACCCACTCCAGTGCCTTTCTCCATGGCCGCTCTCAGGGTGTGTTGTCACCAGGCTCCCCCTTTATACCCAGTGTATCCTCAGTGCTGTCACATGGCTCCAGCTGGACCAGGCTCCTGTTACTCTTCAAACAGGCCGCCTGCCCTCGCTAGGGTCCCATCATCACTGAAATGTTCTGATCTCAGATGCTCTGGCTCTCCTGGTCATATTGGCTCTGCCACTTACATTGTGTCTCCTGGGGACACTGCCTGCCTGAGCTTATTTCCTCATCTGTGGGAATGGGGCTCCTCCCCACCTCCTCAAGGTCTGAGCAGCATGAGCACCTCCTAAACCAGAGTCTCAGAGCACGCTAGAGCCTCAATGACCTCCAGGCTCCCAATCCCATCCACATCAGCCACCACGTATAGTTGGTCAGATTGAGGTGCGCAAGAGCCATGTCCTGTTTTTTCCACTTGCTTGCGGGGAATGAAATTTCTCTCAAGAAAATTTGTGCAATATCACAACAGTGGAAGTCTATCGTGATCCTCGTGAGTGATGCAGTGGCAGGAGTTTTCCCAGCCCCTCAGAGTGACATTCAAGAGCCCTCCCCAGCTGATTCCTGCCACCATGGTCACCACTGTTTACACAGACCCTGCCCAGCCTTGCTGGGCTTGGGGGCCCATTGTTCCTCCTGCCTGCAGGACCTGCTGCCCTCCCTTCATTGTCCCCCAGCCCACCTTCTCAGCTCTAGGTGCCTTCCCAGACCTGTGCGGGGCTCCCTGGGCTGCCACTGCATGCTGTCCGTTCTGCCGGAAGAACACCTCAGTGTCTTTTCTGCTTGGAGACTTGGGAGTGCAGGAAGCATGCCATCTTCCTCATTCAGATCCCAAATCTTTGGATGCTGCGGGACCATAATAAATGATAATCCCAGCACTTTGGGAGGCTGAGGTGGGCGGATCACCTGAGGTCAGGAGTGAGCCTGACCAACATGGAGAAACCCCATCTCTACCAAAAAGACACAATTAGCCAGGCATGGTGGCGCATGCCTGTAATCCCAGCTGAGGAGGCTGAGGCAGGAGAATCACTTAAACCCAGAAGGGTGAAGTTGCGATGAGCCGAGATTATGCCACTGTACTCCAGCCTGGGCAACAAGACTGAAACTCCATCTCAAAATAAATAAATGATTGTTGAGTGCGTACATGGTTAGAGACGTGCACTGTGGGGCAGGAAAGCTGCTGCCCTTCTAAGTGCCACAGACCCACTGGTGGCATTTTGGTAAGGAGAAAGTGGCATGAAGCCCACAGTCCAGCTTCCCGGATCCAGATGTAAGCCCTGTGACTTCTAGGCTGCCTGAACCTTTCGACCCTATGCTCACTCAAGTAGAATGAAGATGACAATATCTACCTTAGGCTCTTGTGGGGATTCAATGAGGAAAATGATAGTAAAAATGCCAAGTATTGTGTCCTAAACCTAGGATAGGATTAACACTTGATGGCTAATTTTTCAGAGAGGGGATATTCTGAATGTTGAAACTCTGATTCCCAGTAATGACAAATCCCAAGGGAAAGTGAGAGATTGAGAAATGGAAGCTACCCACGTTGGGAGTGCTCTGATTTCTTCAGATTTTTAATAAGAATGTTTGCATAAAACTCATGTTCATGGCTGGACACGGTGGCTCACACCTGTAATCTAGCACTTTGGGAGGCTGAGGCACGTGCATTTCCTGAGCTCAGGAGTTCAAGACCAGACTAGGAAACACGGTGAAACCCTATCTCTACTAAAATACAAAAACAATTAGCCAGATGTGGTGGCATATGCCTGTAACCCCAGCTACTTGGGAGGCTGAGGCAGGAGAATGCTTGAACCCGGGAGGTGGAGGTTGCAGTGAGCCAAGATCGCACCATTGCACTCTAGCCTGGGCAACAAGAGCGAGACTCCATCTCAGTCAATCAATCAATCAATAACTCATGTTCATGAAAAACTCAGTAATATGAGAAAATGGTTATGTTCTAAGAACAAAGAAAAATAGAATTCAAAGTAATAAGTAGAGACATGCAACATACAACAAGACAAGCAGGAGGCAGTCTGTACTTTGTGTTGTTTGATTAGAGAGTCCATTCTCATGGCTGTAAATTCCAAAGGTACAAAATGTTCTAGAATAGTCTGTTTCCTTCTTCTGCCCAAACACCCAGCAACTGCCCTGGTAGACAATATATATTACTAGTTTTTTCAATCTTCCCAGAGATGTTTTACGCATAGCACATATTCTGTTGATGGGTGTATTCTGTTCACCCCAATATATTATCATTTAGAGCAGACAACTCTAGCTCATCCCTAAGCAACCAACCAAGAGGTGAAAACCCAAAAGATTTTATTAAAATCCTTTCTCTCCTCGAGGGGGAGGTTTGTGCTGATGTTTTTATGCAGTCCGTTCAGTTTACAGATTTCACTTTTTGTTTGTGTTTAAATATTTCACTTAAGGTTTTAAAGAGAAACAGCAAAGCTGAAACCTTAAACCTGAGACCTCAATATATACTTTTTTTTTTTTTTGAGACAGATTCTTACTCTATGGCCCAGGCTGAAGTGCAGTGTTGCAGTCTTGGCTCACTGCAGCCTCCACCTCCTGGGTTCAAGCAGTTCTCCTGCCGCAGCCTCCTGAGTAGCTGGGATTATAGGCGTGTGCCACTATTCTTGGCTAATTTTTATATTTTTAGTACAGATGGGGTTTCGCCTGGCTGGTCTCAAATCCCTGACCTCAGATAAATCCAGCCACCTTGTCTTCCCAAAGTGTTCAGATTACAGGCATGAGCCGCTGTGTCCGGCCTCAGTATATATTTTTAAAACCTCAATTATTGGAAAGGTTTCTAGTGGTTAAGAGGCTGACATACGGGATTGGACACTCTGGGCCTAATCTCTGACTCAGCCACTGTGTGACCTTGGGGGAGTTAATTCACCTCTCTGTGCTTCAGTTTCATTGTGAGGAAAATGAAGATAGTAAGAGTTCCTACCTCGTAGGGTGGATATGAGATTAAATGAGCAAATGTGTGAAACACTTCAAAGAGGGTCTAGCACGGCTGAGAGTTTACTGTTGTCTTCCCTGGCTCTGCTATTTAAATAGTTGCAAGACTAATCTAGCCATTGAACTACTTTTTGGTACTGTGAAACTTGGGCATTTCCAGTTCTAGCATCCTATTTATGTCACTAGCAAAAGCCTGTGTCTTGTGCACAGTAGGGACTGCTGACTAAGGGTGCTGCTGGCCAGTATTCCAGAACCTGGGACTGGGAACAGAAACTTTGTCTCATATTTTGACCATAGGGAAGAGAAAAGACCAGTGAGTCATAATGTTTTAGGCATAAGGAAGGTTATTCTGGAGAGGAAGGAGATCCTTAAAAAAAGTTCATAAAATTAGTAATTGATTATGCACACAATGAAATCATGTTCCAGAGATGACAGATATACTTGTATGTATGAGATTAAAGATGATGACAAATACTGACTCACGTCCACTGTGAAGGTGACCTTAACTTCCAGGAGCAGTGGAGCCATTGGGCTGAACAAAGATGACTGTTAGCGATGTGAGATGTTGCGCTTGCAGCATCTCCCTTCCAGATTTCAAAAAGGAAATGCAGCTTCTTACATGGGCCTGTGCTACTCACTCCTTCCCTCAGCCCTGACTGGAGGACCGGACAAATGCCTTCAGGAACTACTAAACAAGTACTGAGGTCTCATGGCCCAGGGCAGGGGGAAGCTCCCCTCCTCTGGGGCACTGCTTGTCCTTATATGTGGGTGTCACCTGGGTGGGATTCTTCTGCCAGGGAACAAGCTGAGGAAGATGGGAGATTCTGGTTTCTATGGATACTGGGCTAGCTGGGATTTACATAACATAGTTCAGAGAACAGACAGTCTGGGAACAGTGTGGACCCCTGAGGATGGAGGGAGGTGGTGTGTGAACAGCGTCCCAACCAGGGCATGGCATATACTTAGGACTCAACACATACTGGTGCTCTTTACTCTCCACCCCCTCTTAAGTTGGCTATGGGTGTGCAAAACCTCCCTTGTTTACTTACAAGGCATCTCATGTAGGCTCTATTTTAATGCCTACTCCTGGAGCACCATGTGAGATAGGCTCAAAAAAGAAGTCAGGGGGCTTGTTCAATGTCACAGGTCTAATCAGTGACAAAGCTGAACCTCAGACCCTAGTCTCCAGGAGTTACTGTATCCAGATCTCAAAACATCTGGGTTTGCCACAGTAAATTTGGTCTAATTCAGGCAGTTCAGTTTATGAGGGCCTGAACTAAGATGGGGGTATGGGGGTAAGGCAGGGGATGTGAGGAGAAGTGGGCAATTTAAAATACTGGAGGAGGTAGGGTTACCAGGCACACCGTGGATAGACTGGATCGGGTAAAGAAATGAGGCTGCTGGGCTTCTGGCCTGAATAACTGGTGCTGGTCACTAGGGCATGGTGAGGTCAGTACTGTGTTTGGGGGCGTGCTGTGGGGGAAGCACAGGGAAGGCCATTAGAGAGCTCTGGAGTCCAGGATCTGCAGGGGAGATACGGAGTCATGGGGCACTGGCACATTTTAGAGGGGAGGGGCTGAGGATTCAGGTTAAAGACTTATGAGGGGCCGGGTGTGGTGGCTCATTCCTGTAATACAAGCACTTTGGAGGCTGAAGTG